ACCAACCAACCAATCTACCAACCAACCACACAGTTCAAGTGTTGTGGCATTCTGAAGTACGAAGACTGGTCCCAAAACACAAAAATCCCAAACGTGCCTACCAGCTGCTGTAAAAATCCGGAAAAAATCTGCTTCCATGAGAGAAACCAACAAAATATTAGTCTCAGAAACAATGATTTCGGCAGTAATTTAACCATAATTGATGCAAGTCACAGTAGTAAGGGTAGTAGTAGGAGTAGTAGCAGCAGCAGTAGTGGTGGTGGTGGTGGTGGTACCGACAGAAGCGACAATCTCAAATTAAGTAGTAGTGGTGGGATAGATGACGGTTTTAGATTTAGAAGCAATGGCAATGATGATAAGAGATTTGGCGGTGTTAGTAGCAACAACAATTTTAGATCTAGTGGTAGTATCGTTGGTAGCCACTTTAGATCTAGTGGTAGTATCGGTGGTAGCCACTTTAGATCTAGTGGTAGTATCGGTGGTAGCCACTTTAGATCTAGTGGTAGTATCGGTGGTAGCGATTTAAGCAGCATTAAGAATAGTAATAGTTTTTGGAATAACGTCGATAAACTTGATAACGGTAAAACGTTTCCGACTGCCACTGGTGGTAGTGGTGGTAGTGATGGTAGCGCTGGTAGCAGTAGTAGTAGTAGTAGTGCTGTTAGTGAAGTCAATGGTAGTGGTGGTGTTAACTTTTTGCATATTTATAAAAATAATAATATGAAGAATAATAACAACAACCTCGACAACCACAACAACAACAATAATAATAATAATAATGACGTCATTAAGTATAACCATAACAAAAACAACAACATTAACCATAATATAAATCAAAGATCGATTGATAATAATAATAATAATAATAATAATAATAATAATGACAACACCCATAATAGCTATGGCGAAGATGAAAATGATGAAGATGATGATGAGGATGCTGATGATGCTGATGATGATGATGAATACGTTAATTATGATTACAATAATAATTATGATAATGATGATGGTGATGATTATAATGATGATGATGGTGGTGATGATGATGATGATCATTACAACGAATATGTACATGAGGATGTGAGTAAATTTATGATACCAAATAATTATGTCATAAATTATGATAATGAGGATGGCATAAATTATGATAATGAGTCTGCTGGCATAAATTATGATAATTATGGCAACATCAGCATTGTTCGTGTTGATAGCGATGACAACTACGCAAAGAGGGAAATTAATTATTCAACAAATAACTTTTTCCCGCCAAAACAAAACAACAACAACAGCATCAACAATAACTTCACTCGCTTCGAGGACAACAACAACGACAGCAATGCCAACATCAGAAACATTAGCAACAACAAAAACAACAACAACAACAGCATCAACAATAACATCGAAGGTATTAATAACAACAGCATCGTCAAAGACATCATCAAAAACATAAACAACAACCTTAACATCAACAACAACAACAACCTTAATAACATCAACAACTACATCAACAACAAAATCAACAACAATGATGATGTCAGCAACAACAACAACAATATAAACAAAAACATCATCAAAATCGATGACCTTACTAAGAACAACAAATTTTACAACAACAATTCTCGTAAAAACAACAACAAATTTCACAAAAACAATAACAGCAACAATAACTTTCATAACAACAACAACAACAATTTTCATAACAACAACAAAAACAGCAACCTTTTTAACAACAACAACTTTTATCACAACAACAACAACAAATATCATAACAACAACAACAACAAATTTCACAATTATCCTGTTGACAACATTAAAAACGACAACATTAATGGCGGCATATTTTTCAATAAATTTCACAACATCAACATCGACAACATCAACAACAACAACAAATTAATTGACGACAAACGAACGTTATACAACAACCACAACATCAACAAAAACAACATCCACAACAACCACAACAACCAAAACAACCACAACATCCACAACGACCACAACAACCACAAAAACAAACACCACAACATCCACAACAACCACAACATCCACAAAAACCACAACATCAACAAAAACAACAACCACAACATCCACAACAACCACAACAACCACAACATCAACAGCTTCAAAAACTTTGAAAAGAATGATGATAGCAGTGTGAGCGCGTTAAAAAATGGCGCGAACTCGCTGATAAATGGCGCGAGCTCGCTAAAAAATGGCGCGAACTCGCTAAAAAATGGCGCGAATTCGCTAAAAAATGGCGCGAAAGAGAATGAAAACCGCGCTAAAAATATAAATTCATTTTTAAACATGGACTCTACGGAGAAAACGCAACCAAACAATGCAAACATCATCAAAGCATCTGACTTTCATTCATCCAAAGATGGAGAGAAGGACGGAAGTGTTAGAATTATAGGAGCGAAGGATGGCGCTGATGATGACAATTACAACGTTTTTGCTGAAGTAGGATTGTTTAAATATAATTTAGTATTCCATAATTTTGCCAAATTTATTTTAGAATATTTTTGTTCACTGTGTAAATAAAAAGGAAAGAAGAAAAGCAAGAAAGAAAGAGAGAGAGAGAGAGAGAGAGAAAGAGAGAGAGAGAGAGAGAGAGAGAGAGAGAGAGAGTCGCCTTTTATCAAACAACCCTTTTAAAGGCTCATCTAGACAAGCAAGAACTTTTATATCAGTTATATGCTTATATTATAATTAATCGTAAAATAATATAATTTTGTATATGAAAAAATAATAATACATAATAATTAATTATATATTAATTGGTCTGGGCGTAGCAGTACATAATTATACTTATAATTGTAATTAAAATACTTTTCCATAATTTATAAATTAACCATCGTTTGGGCTTCTTAAAGGGCTGCGAGTACAAGTTTTCTGAATGGATGAAGAAGATTTTCAAAATTTTGAACATCTGCTTTTACCTTATCATTGGCCTGGTGGTATGTTGGTGTATGTTTGTTTGTATGTCTGTTTGTATGTTTGTTTGTATGTCTGTTTGTATGTTTGTTTGTGTGTTGTTTGTTATTGTATGTTTTTGTTTGTGTATTATTGCTCAATGCGTGTTTATGGCGTTTGTATCTTATAATAATGATGTATGTTTATTTTATGTTTGTTTGTATGTACGCTGTTTGTTTGTTTGTTTGTGTGTTGTTTGTTTTTGTTGTTGGCGTGTTTACATGTCAGTGATAACGATTTAATAATGTATATGATATTAATAAAAACATAAATAATGATATTACAAACAATAATAATAATAATAACAAAAACAATAATAATAAATTATTATTATATATTAATATTTTATTTATCATAATTTATTTTTCTGCCAACAGACCATTCTCATACCGACTGTGTATTCTATCTCAAGCCACGTCTTACTTCCGACTTTTTGATACACAAAATTAATAATAAAAACAAGAATAATTAGAATAATTAACAACTGTAATAATAATAATAAAAATTAAATAATAAATGACATTAATGAGTAATTAAATTTATTATTTGTCAATGTTTCTTAATCATATACTTATAAATCATTGTGTCGAGATTTAAGTCTGTGCATCTTTCATCCAACGAACATTTCTGTATAACATTTTTATATTTAAAAATATAAAGAAATATTATATGTTATACTATCTCAAACAACAAACTAATTTATATAATTATGATAAAGTCGTAATAAAATTATAATATTAATTATTCTTTTATTTTTTTATTTTTTTTTATATTAAATTCTATCGAAAGAAAGCACATCACACATTCGAAAGCGCTTCGTGTTACCATAGCAACGGTGTTTATGGTTTTGTTGTCATGGAAAAATTTTGAATGGCTACGTATAAGTTGGAATGTGAATTGAAATATAAAAATCAATAAACGTTTCTAAATTATTGAAAATAAAATACGTGAAAATTATATTATTTATGATGATTAAATAATATCGAAGAAATTTTTAATAGTTAATAAGTTGTAATTGAGTAATAGCGAGGAGTAATTTAATTATTTAATTGCAATTAATTAATATTTAATGAACAATTAAGATAACTTAATTATAAATTAATTAATATGATTTAAATGATTTAAATACTGAATGATTTATTCCAAATTTTCACCGAGAAAAACCCACAGTGCAGACAATGCTGGTCGACTATATTGCCAGAAATAAAAGTTCACTTAGGAATGTTAACATTAGGAATGTTGAAAATCTGAGGTTGAAATTTTTGAAAGACGAAAGTTACGTCAACAGTGTATCATACAATAACAATTATAACATCAACGACAATGACATCAAACATCACAGCCGTGACATTAACAACGATGTGAACGAGAAAAATAATCACATCGGCAGAAGCTTGAAATTTTGCAACTACAACAAAAACGACGAAATTAACAGTAACAACAGCAACAACAATGCCTACGACACTGCTAACAACAGCAACAACATCAAGAAAAAATCTACATTGCTGTCGGCAAATTTTCCAAATACATCAACAACTCTTCCACAAATCACATCAACTACATCATTGCCAGTAACAACATCGGTAACAACATCAACAACAAACACAACAACAGCAAACTACTTCGCAAGAAAACGCGCCTATGAAAATTTGATGTTGCTGAATCGTCGCAACACACGATCAACATCCAACAAAATTCTCAACATTTACTCGATTGACGATGTTCCCAGAGAAATTATTTTTCAAAATTTGTAAACAATTACGTCAACAAAATCCACCAACAACAACAGCAACAAAACTCATTAAACAGCAACAACAACAAAATATGGAACATCAACAGTAGGTACTTTTGAATATTGGCAACAATTTTTGTTGCGGCAACTTTTACGAAACGAAATCTTTTCGAGACGAGCATAATAAAACATGTCACGAAACGGGACGAGATTACAAATAACTTTTTTAATAATACATAAACTGCTTAATTTGTTGGTTATTCATTCGATTAAGATTTCAATAGCTGATTATCTCAATCATTTCATATATGTTTACTTCTTTTCAGTCGAAAATTCCATATTTAATACATTTTTTGATGGTTTGTTTGGCCTTTTAGCGTTAATTCTACTCTCGAATTAAAATCCGGACAGAGCTGTTCAAAATTTTCAAGTGCAGTTGTGTTTTGGAATGAATGAATAAAAGAAAGAAAGAATGAATGAATGAACGAACGAACGAACGAATGAATGAATAAAAGAAAGAAAGAATAAAAGAAAGACAATTCAATTAAAAGAATGAAACCCAGAATGGGAACAACATTATTTCAAATTATTTTATTAACGATCCAACGACAAAAGGACGTTATTAGCACCTAGACAACTCACTTAATAACAAATATATCATCTTAAAACCATAAAGTATCATAAAGATATTCAATACTATCATAAAATCATGATATCGTCAATGTAATGATACCGTAAATTTATTAATATTGTAAATAAATTGATATCACTAATGTGTAGATATCTTAAAGGTAACGCTAAAAATATAATTTAAATACGATAAAGATATCATTCATCATCATAAAATCGTGATACCAAAAATGTACGGATATCATATGATATCATAAAAATATCATTTAAATCATCGGACAATGGATGCCATGTATGATAAATAATGAAAGAAAGTTAATCCTCATACACCATCATGATAATTGATAGATTTAAAATATCAATTTTTAAAAATGCATGACGGTATATAGAGTTTAATATCATATAGATATATGTTAATTTTAACATATAAATACATATAAACACACAAAAAACGCATATATATATATAATATCATATATATATATATATATATATATATATATATATCAAAACATAATTAGGAGCGCTAGTTTTAGTACATTTTATAAAATTTATTTAAAATACACCAAAGAAAAATGGTATAGAAAGTTCGAAATACACCTAATTTTAGGGTATAATTATTCAGACATATATATGGTATATTGTATATATACTATATACTATGCAATGTATATATACCATATAATACATACTATATTATTATTCTTTTTTATTATTATTCTTATTTAGGGGTGAGTTGAAAGAATAATTATTTTTTTATTTACGAAATTTTATAAGTTACTCGAAATGTAATTAATAGTTGTAATAATAATATTAATAATACGACAGCAATAATATAAATAATAATAATATTCTTATTAAATATTATAAAAATAATAATAATTAATAATAATAATAAGAATAATAATATTAATAATAACAATAGCGGAAGAACTACTATATTTTGAATAAAATTTTAGCATTTTTCTTTGTTATAGATTGTTCATATGAAATTATTATTATTATGAAAAAAATTATAAAAAAAATAATAATAACAATAATAATAATAATAATTATATATTTTAAAAAATATAATAGAAATATTATTTATATGGGACATTTATTAAGTGCATGAATGACTGATTGATAATAATAATGAAAAATGAAAAAATGAATAATGTAAAAAATGAAAAGTCATTAAATCATCGTCGTCGTCTTCGTCACCAACACCATCGTAATAATCATCATCACCATTACCATTTCCGTCTTAGCAATCATTATCATCATCACTATCGTCGTCATCACTATCATGATCGTCGTCATCATCATCAGAACTTCATAGAGGGCTTCTTTGATGAGAATGTGCTAACGACGTTCTCTATCGATGATTCTCTATTTCTGTTGTCAGGGCTTCCACAAGCAGTTGCCGTAGCCGCTGCAGTAGCAGCAGCTTCAGGAGCTGTCGTAGCAGCTGTGTCAGTATCTGTAGCAATAGATGTGTCAGTAGCTGTAGAAATAGCTGTGTCAGTAGTTGTAGGGATAGATGGGTCAGTAGCTGAAGCAATAGCTATATCAGTAGCTGTGGTAATAACTGTGTCAATAGCTGTGGTAATAGCTGTGTCAATAGCTGTGGAAACAAGAGCTGTGTCAGTAGCTGTCAAAACAGCTGTGTCAGTAGCTCGCGAAACAGCTTTAGAAGTCGTAACACTAGCAGTTGTTACAGTGGCCGTACTATCGGTTGATGTATTTGTGGCTGTAGTAGAAGCAGCACTAGTTGCAGTAGTAATAATAGTAGTAGCGATAGTATTTGTAACAGCAGTAGCAGTGTAAGTAGTAATTAAAATAGTAGTAGGAGTGGCCAAAGCAGTAGAAGTAAGAGTAGTAAAAGTAGCAGAAGTAGTAGCAGTAGTAGAAGTGGCAGTAGTAGCGTTGGGAAGAATACTTGAGGTTTGTCTATTTACGCTGGATGCTGTGTAAATAGCAACTGGGGTTTTGCTTGATGTAGTAGCAGCAACAGTAGTAGTAGTAGTAGTAGTAGTAGTAGTAGTAGTAGTAGTAGTAGTAGTAGTAGTAGTTGTTGTTGTTGTTGTTGTTGTTGTTGTTGTTGCAGTAACTGTGTCAGGTGATACCGATGTTTGAGCGGTTGATATCGTTCTTCCTCTTGGCAATAATGGTTGTGTTATAACTCTTATAGGAGATGTTGTTGGTGTAGTAGATGTTGTTGATGTTGTCGTTGTTGTTGATGACGTCATTGTTGTTGATGGCGTTGTTGTTGACGATACTGTTGGAAAAAACTGGTCTTGAAAACTTTCAAGAATTATCGGCTTTGTTGCCTTGGCTTTGAATGACTTTGTTGTTAATGTTACTGACGTTGGCGATGTTGGCGATTTCGACGCTGTTGAAGCTGCTGCTACTGCTGCTGATAACGTTGGGGTTGTTGGTGACGTTGGTATTATGGTTGGAAATACAGCCGCCAACTTAGATGTGGCGGGAGGTGACAACGGAGAGTGATAACCCTTGCTAGAATATGTTAATGTCGTTCTACCAGGCGACGTCTCGGCGGCTGCTGTAGCAAATGTAGTTGCTGCCATTGCTGCTGCTGTTGATGTAGCTGCTGCTGTTGATGTAGCTGCTGCTGTTGATGTAGCTGCTGCTGTTGATGTAGCTGCTGCTGTTGATGTAGCTGCTGCTGTTGATGCCCGCGTTACCGTTGACGATACTCTCGATGTTAATGTTATCGGTGTTAGAGAGGTTGATGTTGTTGGTAATAACGTAACTGTGGTTGTTGTTGTTGTTGTTGTTAAACTTGATAATGTTGCTATTATTGGTGTTGTTGGTGGGGTTGTTGTAGTTGTCGTTGCAATGTTCATCTGTTGAGGAGAGGAGGACAATGACGATGATGGGGACGACTTTGCCTGTGACGTTGCTAATACTGTTGTAAATTCTTCTTGGGCGCAGGCTGAAGCTTCTTTCAAGAAAGACGGTTCTGAAGATAAAACAGATGTAGTAGTTGTTGAAGTGGCAGCAGTAGCTACAGCAGTATGAGTCGTAGTTTCACCTGTTGTAAAAGCAGTAACTGCTGCATCTGTTGCAGTACTACTAAGAAGAACAGTTTGGACAGGTGTGGACTCAACACTGGCACTTACAAACCTACTACAAACACTATCCACATCTGCTGCAGTAACTACACTCGCCACTAAATTTTCATCAGAATGATCCAGGCCACTAATACCAATACCAGATTGGATAGTAGCAACTTCACTATCGAAATTACTAATTGGAAGAATTTTATGAATATCAATTTCATGTGGTAAGATTACAGAAGCAGAAGAAATTGAAGTAGCTGAAGCTGATGCAGCAGCCACAGTGGTACTTTTTGTAGTAGTGGCAGTAGTAACTTCACTGACCTCAAAAGTACTAGCGGTTGCAGTGGTTGCTGCGATAGCGTCATCAAACGAGGCGACTTTAATGGTGACGTTAATCAATTCCTGTGGTAGAGTGGATTGTTTGATGTGTTGTATCCACATGCGCCTATTGTGCTTGATGTTTTTGGTCAGGTAACTGCATGGTTCGTAGTGGTAGTTCAAGAAATCTAAGAAGGTGAATATTTATTGTGGTGATGATGATGATGATGAAGTATTGTGGTGATGATGACGATGATGATGATGATGTATTGTGGTGATGATGACGATGATGACAATGGTGTATTGTGATAATGATGACGATCAGGATGGAGACGATGACGATGGTGATGAATGTGTTGTTTGTGGAAATAATGTTAAAGATGGGAGCTTGATCGTGGCAATACCAAATGGATAACATTCAATAAGCCCAGGCCAATTTTTCAGCAAATACGTGAAATAAATAAAAATAACGATAAGTATAGATAGTAATAAATATTATTATTATTTTGCTATTATTATTATTATTATTATTATTATTATTATTATTATTTTAATATTATTATTATTATAATAATGGTGATGATGATGATGGTGGTGGTCAGCAATAATATTTTATGGTGAAAAATAAAAAATGTTCCCATTATTATTATTATTATTATTATTATTATCGTGCATAACAATATTAACAATTTATTACAATATTAACAATTTATTTAATTTTATTTAATTTTATTCCATTTTATCTATTTTGATTTGATTTTATGTCTTCTGCAATAATAAAAGAGTTCAAAAAAAAATTATTATTATGTATTATTGATATATTCATGAAACACTAATCATTATAGAAAATAACAAAATCGTACATTCCAACGAACCATCATCGTCACAGTAATCATCGATGTTCTCAGCAGCATCGCTGTCCTTCTCACCACCTTTCAGGTCGTCATCACCATCATCATCATCTTCATCCCGGTCGTCATCACCATTTTTTCGGCCGACATCATCCCGATCGTCGTCATCATGTTTCTTCTTCTTTCCAAAGCCACCACCACCATCATCATCATCATCATCACCATCAACATAGTTGGGGCGGATAGGGAGAAACCCCGCCCTAGAAAGGGTGTAGCAAAGGGGGGCCACTAGATGCTCGATGAAGGATTTCTGAAGAATGGCAAGTTGGGGGTTCTTGCGATCCATGAATGGAGAGATAGGGAGGCCCAGGCTGGCTTCTTCGTCACCCTAATTTGTCATTTTTAAAAGGGTGAACTGTGATTTGTAAGGGGTAAACTTGTGATTTGTGGATCGTAAAGGGATGAATTTTTGGATTCGTGGAGGGGTGAGTTGGCGGATTTGAATTTTTTAATTTGTAAGGGATGTGTGAATAAATAAAAAAAAATATCAACAACTCACCCCGCCATTTCTTAAGACTATACGCATACTGTGTTGAAAGTTATTATGTTCACAGACAGAGACAACAGACAAAATGCAATAGCATATTACAACATTACCACAAAGACCACACGACACACCACACAACAACACACACCACAGAACACCCAAGGCACCTGCTCATAGAACTCCCTGCATATCTTATCGGTCCACGTCAGATGAAGGGCAGTCTCTTTGCAGGGTCCATTTATGTCGGCCATTTTGATGACCATGTTGGCAATCATCAGTCTGTTGCTTTCCAGGGTCCAATCTACACTCGGGTCATCACCTAAGTTGACCTTTGAAAGTTTGAAAGTGCGCTAGATCAATCGACCAATCAATCAATCAAGATCAATCGATCAATCAATCAATCAAGATCAATCGACCAATCAATCAATCAAGATCAATCTACCAATCAATCAATCAAGATCAATCGACCAATCAACAGACCGGCCAGCAAACCAGCCAACCAATCATTTGCTCGACCAATCGACTGACCTTGGCGTTGAACTCGGCAACAAGTTCAAAATGTTTCTTCAGGTCTGTCGCAAGGACCGCCTCAATGACCAAGAAACGGAATCTAAATGATTGAATGAATACTCATCTTCATCATCATCCTCGTCGTCATCATACTCATCACCGCCATCATCATCATCATCCTCATGATCAAGATCATCATCAACATCATCATCATCGTCATACTCATCATCATACTTATCATCATCATCATCTATATCAAACTCATCATCATCACCAGATCATAACCTTCTGAACTCGGCGGCCTCGAGGTTGACCAGCCAATTGTACTTGGGGTCAGAGGTCAGCAGGAGCCAGGCTGATGCCACGTGATGGTTCTCCAGCACAGATCTGTCGTTGTACAAGATGGCCTGCGTGGAGAGGTGATGATGATAATGATGATGATCTTGTTGATGATGATGATGATCTTGTTGATGAAGAAGATGATGATGATCTTGATCATGAGGACAATGATGATGATGATGATGATGATGACGATGATGATGATGATGAAGATGAGAATGATGATAACGATGAAGTTGATGATGACAATGGGAATGATGTTTATGATAGCCATATCACATAATAATAATAAGAAGAAGAAGAATAAGAATAAGAAGAATAGTTATAATAGTGATAATGATGGTGATGATGATTATGGTGAAAGATAATAATGGAATGAAAGAAAAATGGATGAGTGCAATGAGTAAATGAACGGAACCAGGTGCAATAACGTAGAAGTACATTGTTAGTACGTCGCTGTAATCATCCTCCTCCTCCTCCTCCTCCTCATCATCATCATCCTCAACATCAACATCATCATCGTCACCATCATTATAATCGTCATCATCATCATCGTCGTCGTCATCGTCATTGTCTTTGCCGTCTTAATCTTTATCAACACATTGACAACAACAACAACAACAATAGCTAGCAACAGCAACATCAGCAACAACTGTAACATTAATAAAAATAACAACAACAACAACATTAATAACAATAACAACAACAATAACAACAGCATCACCAACAACAACAACAACAACAACAACATAGAAGCCAAACCATAGAATTATTAGTAGAGACCAGAAAGGCATTGGTCTTCCCTGGATGATCGTAATCATGAATAGCCGCTGCCATGTAAAGCGCCATCAGCTCCAAAGACGGAAAATTGGCAGACATTGTTGGTTCTTGGTTTTGTTGTTGTTGTTGTGGATTATTAGTATCTATGTTGTTGTTGTTGTTGTTGTTATCAATTATCGTCCCGTCTTCATCTAGCCTCACCATCGTCATATCGGGTGGCTGTTGTTGTTGTTGTTTTTCAGGATTTTGTGGGGGTTTTTGTAGGAGAGCTGGGATTGGTTGGGAGGTGACGTAATAAACGGCATGGAGAACGTCAGTGGCGTGAATTCTGTTGTGGTCTGTTGGTGGTTGTTGGTGGTTGTTGGTGGTTGGTTGTGGTTGGTAGTGGTTAGTTGTGGTTAGTTGTGGTTAGTTGTGGTTAGTTGTGGTTGGTTGTGGTCTGTTAAAGTTGTTATTAGTTGGCAAGAGTTGTTGGCGGTTGATCGTAGTTGTTTGTGATTGTTTATTGTTTGTTGTGGTTGGTTGTGGTCGGTTGTCGTTTTTTGTGGTGGCTGGTTGTGGTTATCGGTTGATTGTATTTTTTGGAAATATGTGTTCTAGATAATGTTTACTGGTGAAATTTTTATTTTTATATTTGAATTTTTTTTGCAGTAATTTTTTGAAAAAGTTGTAAAAATTAATAATAAGTGAGAATAAAAAACAGTTTAAATATGCCAAAGTAAAAGCCCCCAGAAAATAAATAAAAAATAATAAAGCACTACAACATTGCCACCTTTAAATTACAACAATCAAACAACTACTATAGTCAACAACAAACAAACAACAACAACAATAACATCGACAACAACAACAATAACAAACAACAACAACAATAACAAACAACAACAGCCATAAATAACAACAAACAAAAACAGCAAACAACAACATCAACAAACAAACAAACATCAACAACAACAACAAACAAACAAAACAACAACCAATAACAAACAACAACAAACAAACAACAACACAACACAACACAAATCCAACCAACAATAATTATTATGATATCCCAATTCTAGCGCATGGAAGAACTTCAGGAATGGGAGCCTGGGAATGTTAAACTCCGACATGAAATTTGTAAGATTCCAGACCTTGTAAGCCACCTATATAATTAATACAATTCAAATTTTGTACACTAATATAGACACCACAAACAGAAATCTAAAGTAAAAGTGAGTAACATCTCTACTAATTTATCCTTAAATGTTAAATGGGAGTTGTGATGGCATTTTAGTTAAGGCGCCTGTCCCTGTTGTCACAGAGACTCGGTTCAAATGCATGAAGATCCTGATTTATAAAGTCAGTGAGAGGTGTTGGATGAGTATGTATTCGTGTTGAGTTTTGAGTCTGTTGTTAACATGCGTGGAAATAAATTAAAAAAGCATTTATATAAGTAAAACAATCTGTTTGTGTTGTTGTTGTTGTTGCAGCTGTTGCAGCTAATGGTAGTAGTAGCTACTGTTGCTACTGTTGCTGTTGTTGTTGTTGTTGTTGTTGTTGTAAAGTTTGTAACGTTTGTATAATCTGTTGAGATGTAGGTTTAGTGAGATATATGAGGAATAATAAAAAAAAACATGGGAGAAAGGAGTATCTGGGAAGATGATCCTGTGAAAGATGAATAAGGCTTGAAAAATAAAGATTAACTGAAATAAAAGAAGATAAAATGAAATTAAATAAAAAACAGACAAAAGATTATGATTGTTGTTCTTTCTCTTTCTCTCTCGCACTCACTCATTCACTCACTCACTCACTCATTTCTCTCTCTCTCTCTCTCTCTCTCTCTCTCTTGCTCTCTCTTTTTTCTCTTTCTCTTTCTTCATCTTTTTTAATGATGATGTATCGATAATGATAATATAATTATTGCTATTGCGGTAGTTGTTAAAATAATAAAACCGATCATGATGAAGATTTTTGTAGTAATAACAACTTTAACGCTGATGATGCTGCTAATGATAATGATGATGTTGACGATGGTTATGTAGACGATGGTGAGAACATTGTTCTAGACAGATAATCACAAGTTAATGATGACGAAGAAGCTTGTCGCTGTTGGGTTACTCTCTAGGGATCCAAATGTAAATAACATCATGGATTAACATCATCTCATCGTCTGCCTCATCATCAGCATCTTACTCATGTTTGTCATCGCTATTTTTGTTGCTAGTGTCACCCTCTTTTTTCTCATCTTTGTCGTCATCGTCTCCTCGATCATCATCGCCACTTTAATCATCGTTCGTCATCATCGTTATGTCGTCGCTGGCGTCATCAGCGACCACAACGTCATCAGCATCGTGGTCGACGTCATCATATTAGTATTCTCACTTTCGTCATCTCTGCTGTCATCCATTACAACAGCGCCGACTAAATTTATGATCAGTTCGTTATTCTGATCAATTCTTACATTTTTAATGATAATATACAATCTGATATCACAAATCACAATAATTTGTTGGCAGAATATTTTTAAAGAAATATGATGAGCTAATCTGGCTCTGGCTCTGGCAATACAGTCACCATCCAAGGTACGAAATTTTTTTTTAGCCAATTTTGAATTTTACACTCGGAATCCCACGGCATAACAAGTTACATCAACTCTCGTCACGTCTGAGTTTAAACTCTCACCGCAAGTAGTCTAAAAATCACACTTTGACAACATTTTCAAATATCGCTGAAGAACAAACACAGCAGAATGTCTAACAGTTATTCACATAAACTTGATAGAGTATGAAAATAATATTTACAAGGATGTTTAATAATCAATATATCCAACGAAATTAATTTTAAAAATGCGTCAAAAAACCAAACCTCTTTCTTGCACAAACCCAACTAAAAAGCAACAACACGAATGGGGAAAGTTATAAAGGGTGACGATGATGGTGATTACTCACTCTGGTTAGCAGCGTTGTTGGCGCCAATTCTGCCAACCGGAAGATGGGATAGTCCCACGTGGCCAGCTGTTCGACCTTCAGAAGATCGCCATGTTGAATGACGTCATCGATGAAAGAATACGCGTCTAGAGAATTTGGATGAATAGGTGAAAGAATGAATGAATGAGCAAGTGAATGGGAGGTAGAAAGTATGCGTGCGTAAATGAGTGAATGAAAAAATGAGTGAATGAGAGAATGAATGAATGAATGAGTGAGTGAGTGAGTGAGTGAGTGAGTGAGTGAGTGAGTGAGTGAGTGAGTGAGTGAGTGAGTGAGTGAGTGAGTGAGTGAGTGAGTGAGTGAGTGAGTGAGTGAGTGAGTGAGTGAGTGAGTGAGTGAGTGAGTGAGTGAGTGAGTGAGTGAGTGAGTGAGTGAGAGATAAAAACAAACAGATGGTTGACTGAATGGCTGACTAAACGAGCGGACGGATTTTGAGAATTATTCAAGTGTAATAATTAAAATTAAATTTTAAAGAATTAAAAATTGATAACCAAAAGTAATTCTTTGTGCGATTTTAAAAGAGTTTCAGCCTAATTGACAATTTTAAGCAATTTTTTTTTTGATAAAATGTCAACTTTTTTCATTTCGATTTAAACTCAATTTAAAATTTTATTCGAAGTTAATTTTTAATTTAATAGACCTTTAATTTTTAATCTGAGCGTCTGAGGTTTCGTCGGCAGTGACGAGAATGATGATGACGACAACGATGAAGTGAGTAAACGAGGTTTCTGGTGGCTATCATTATCATTATTATCGTCAGCCGATGATGAAGCCGCTATTGCAGCCACTGTTGTAGTCGATGATGAAGCCGCTGATGTAGCTGCTGATGTGGCTGAAGTCTGAATGATGGGAAATAAATGAGAAAAACGAATTAAGTTTTATTTTTATCAAGTATTGAAAAAAGAAACTTGTAACAATGATTCATAAGTGTTTGTTATTATCATTATCAGCACTGTTAACATCGTCCTCATCAATATCATCATCATCATCATTAACATCATCATCGTCGTCGTCTTCTTCTTTAACATGTCTCAACTACATAAAACTCAATAAGAAGCAGCGTGCTAGAATTTTGATTATTATAACAACAACAACAACAACAAAACCAACAACAACAGCAAAAACAACAACAACATTAGAAAGCAAGAGAGTCGTTACGTAACAACACGCAAGCAAAGAGTTAAATCTTCATTCTAAATAGAGAAAAATTTCTCCTTATAATTATTCTAATTCTTTTTATTATTCTTACTATCTATTATCCCTGGATAAAAAAAGGCGAGAAATTTCAAAATAGTAGAAACATCAGGTGAGATAACAGAGAGAGAAAAAGAAAATGAGAGAGAGAGAGAGAGAGAGAGAGAAGAGGTAAGGTTCTTTTTGAATTTAAACCCGGTAACTCAACGGCAAAACCAGACGCCTTAACAATTCTTCATCATTTCTTCATCATTTCACATTCTTCATTTTATTATTTTAATTTTAACTTATTTAAGCGTTTCTATATAATCAAAAATAACGTTCATGAATTTGGAAAAAAAAATAGGTTTATATGTTTTCTTCAAGCAAAATTTTGTTTCCAATTATCTAAATATGTGACATAATTAGTTTGAAAAATAGAAAAATATCGATTTTCACAAAGAATTTATACCGGGCCATTATCGCGTTGCATTGAATTCATGGGCGCTTTTTGAACAATTTTTGAATCTGCACTGTTATTTAACTACCCTCTTGTGTAAGTAACTGCTTACGCAAAAAATTTACATGAAACCTTTACATAAAAAATATCTCATTATGAAAAACCTACAAGTGTACGAGCATGTTATGGCTAAACAAAATTGACCCACCAAACAATCAAACAACTGATTTTTGGAAACCAAGGCAGGCATACATACACCTATAACATTATAGCTCATTCATACACACTAGCAGAATTATAAATGTATGTGTGTGTGTGTGTGTATGTGAGTGTGTGTGTGTGTGTGTACTAACAGAATAATAAACGTATGTGTGTATGTGGGTGTTTGTGCGCGTGTGTGTTCGTGCGTGTGTGTGTTTAAGAATCCATGTTGTTTCATCCATACACAGCAGATCCATTCAAATTAAAATGAAAGAAAGATGATTTATATCTCAAACTTCCTTATGCTTATTTTTTCAAAAAAAAAATTTTTAATTTTTTAAATTTATGGCGGAAGAAAAAAGTATTATTATATATGGTTGTGATTTTTGTGTTTATGTAGTGTTTTGTTTGATATTTTCTTTTTCTTAAAAGACTTTACACAAATGCAAATTATTACTTTTATTATTATTATTATCGTTATTATTATCATTATAAGTATTATAAGTAATTACATTACTAATAAATGTAATAATAACAGCATTAGTAGTAAACATAGATATACTGATTAACCGCAATTTTACAAGCATACTCGCCCATCCCTATTTTACGCACGCGGCCATTAGATATATAAACAAGCGACAACAAGGCAACTTCACGTGCATTCTAACTAACTGTTCGCTTGTTTAGTGCTTTTAAATCTGTTCGTCGAAACAAAGAAGTTTCTACATTTTTTTTATTTTAAAATTTCTTGATTTTTTTCAGTTGTTCGGTTAGCCATGATTTCCGCGCCGAGAGAAAAAATGGAGAAACGTCACAAAAGAAGAGTAGCAGCTCGAAACAACCGAATGTTAATTAAAAAGATGCAACAAATTAAATCGGAAGAGTTCACGAAGAGTGTCGACGAATGGATACAAAGGATTGCTGAAAAGGAGGCAATGGCAAAAAATGAGATTCAAATGAAGCACTCCGCTGACCTAACATTAGCTGAAGTGAAGAAGAAAATTATGGAAATGAAAAAAAATCTCAAATTGCTCAACTTGTTAAAGTCGTTAAAAGATATTAGAGTATCGAAAGTGAAAGGTATGATGGAGTTGGACAAATCTAATACATTTTATCAGAGGGTAGAAAATTTAAAAGTCTTCCTCAACAACCAACTGGTCGTATATGGACATGAACAAAAGACGTTAGAAGTAATGTTGAAGACTGAGCAAGCCTTGGACTCAAAACGCAACCAGAAGATAATAAATGCAGCCGTCATTAATGAAAGTGATGAATATAAAAGATGTCTCAACAGTTATTTATTTGGGGAAACTCAGAGTGAAAATAATCTTTTTAGTGGTTATTACGAGTTACCAAGTAGAGATGCTTGTTCATTTTTACACATCAGACATCAGTGGGATCAATACTTAGATGCTGCTGATGGGAGTAAAATACCTACTTCATGGGTTACTCCTTGCGAGCCTTCTTCTCTTCAATGGCAAAGTGCCTTATTGTAGCATCACTTCATCTATTCTTAAAATGTGAAGATCGAATTTTACTAAGATAAAAAATTTATAAAAGTTAAATGTCAGAAGATATTTATTAGTTATGATTTATATTATCCCAAACCAATCTTGATGAAAAGGAGCAGAGAGACCTGGTGGGCATAGATCGCCTCAAACCTGCCTACACACCAGCATCATTCTCACCGTTCCTGGTGTCAAAGGCTATAAAGTCAATGTCACTTTTTAAAACAAAACCAACCGTTTTGTCTAATAACACATCACCATCCACAATGTTGTCAACACTACCTT